GGGGGGACCGGCGTAAGGCACATGAGCGGTGGTGGCAAAGAGGCAGCGGAGGCGTCGGCCGTGGCTGGGATCGTCGGCAAGAGGAGCGTACCGATCGGCGTCGGGTACAGGAGGCCTGGCGGCAGGGGCCCGGGAGAGCAGGCGATCTGCAGCAGACGCGCGAAGACCCAGCGCACGGGCTCCGGATCCAGGCCGCCGCCCAGCAGAGCCTGGCCCAGAGCCGGCATGCCCTCCGGGCCGGGAATCAGAGGCTGCGAAGGCCCGCCGGTGTCCGGCGGTGCACAGGCCACCAGCGCCAGGCAGTTGAGGCAGGCCAGGAGCAGGCGCGCGGCCTGGGCCCCGGCCTCGAGGGAGGCCACCGCGCACGGAGCGTAGAGACACACATGGAGGGGCGTGTCACCGAGGTGGTTGGTAGCCAGCAGCCCCGCGGCCAGGGCATCCAGAGCTGCACGCATGTGAAGCAGGGCCGCCGGGGCCGCGATGTTCGAGCACAGGTCCGCCTCGCGCTCGCCCCCCGTCAGCAGGTCCAGCAATAGGCGCCGCAGGAGCACCGGGTCCGCCCGCCGGGCGGCCAAATGCAAGGCATTGTTTCCCTCGGCGTCCGGTTGGAGCAGGAGTCGCGCGAGGGTCGGGCCGACCACCGGCAGCCCGACATCCAGCCCGGGGCCCAGCACGAGGGCCTCCGCGGTGGCGGCATCCCCGCGACTCAGCGACAGGTGCAACGGCGGGTACCGATCGTCAGCGGTCGGGAGGGGCCCCCCTCCGGTCCCGAGCTCGAGGACCGACAGGGCGGCCATGAGCTGGGGATTTGGCGCGAGCCCGGCCAAGCCGCGCCGGAGGGGAGCACAGCGAGGGGACGGAGCCCGGGGGCAAGGGCATGAGACAGACACATCCGGCCGCGAGGGCATGCCAGTCCAACACCGGGTCAGTACACGACCAAGGCAAGCGGCGAGCGAAAGGGGCCGGATGTGCACGCACCCCGGTGGCGCCGTACTCGGCGGCGAATTGGCCCAGACGCATGCGAGCCGCGTCGCGCGTGTGCAGGAGCACCCCGCTGCCACAGGCGTCGAGCTGGTCCGGATCCAGGCGCAAGTCCCCCGGGAGGACCTCCTCGGCCAGGTGGAGCACCGGGTCAAACTGCCGGGCCCCGAAGGCCAGGGTCCCGAGCAGGCCCGCCTGACAGGACCAGTACGCCGGAGCCGGGGGCAGTAACGCCGGGCAATTCGGCGCATGTGAAGGGGCCGAGTGCTGGCGGTGGCGATCCGGCTGGCAGGTACACTCCGGCGGGGGGGTGGGCAGCGACAGCAGGAGCAGACGCAGGCAGGCCATCTCCGGGGCCGAGAAGGGCCGCGCGGCGCTGACAGCACCGGAGGGGACCGGCTGGGGCTCGGCCCACGCATAGGCCCCCGATCCGGGTGGTAGGTGCTGGTGAATGGGGGAAGCCGCAAAGTCGGAGGCCGTCGGCCCGGCGAGCCCGGGCCCAGGGAAGAACCGATGGAGCGCCACGGCGAGCTGCGGGGCTGTCAGGCCGTTGGAACACCGGACCGAGCTTATGATCAGCTGCGGCAGGCAGCACTGGATTCGAGACGACAGCCGGTCCCGACTGAAGGCCGGTGCTGCGGCCAGGAGGAATAGGAAGCGGCTCATGATGTGGGCCTGAATATATGCATGTGTGTGTGGGGGGGGGGGGGGGGTGGACGTCCATAGATATGGGGAGAGAGGCGGAGGGCGAGGGGGTCAGGCAGTTGTAAAGAGATGCAAAGAATGGGGCGCAAGGACACTCCAGCGGCCTCGCACCAGAAAGGCCTCGGCGTTCGGCCAGTGAAGCTCGGCATCCACCAGCCACAGCACCAGATGGTGGAGAGATGTCGATCCACGGGCAGTCCGCCCGCGCAGGGAGTGCTTTTGCGACAGGAGCATCTGAATGAGGCCCTCCGAGGGCTGGAGTGCCGGCACACAGGGATCTGAGAAGACCAGGCGAGGGAAGCAGACAGACCAGCAGGGTGGGAACAGGGTCAACAGGGTGCAGAGATGAGACGCCGCATGGTCGGATGGTGGGGCGAGGGCGTGTGCGCGTGTGTGCGTGTGTGTGTGTGGGGGG